CGTCGGCCTCCGAGGAAAAGTCTGGTGCCAAATCGCCAACGGGGCGACTTACCCACGCCGGTCCCAGCTGTGCCTTGTCCTCTGCCAGCAGCCGGTGGTTCAGGAGCCGGCTGCGCTGTGGATGCCGTCGAGGTAGCCGACGGCAGGGCGATTCTCTTATATCTGGGGAACCACCGGTGGCTGATTGACGACCGGGCTTTGGCGCCCCGCCGTTCTGCACCTCCCATATCCATCGCCAGAGTCCGACGCTGGAGGTGCGACCAATGCCCTTAAAGGGCAAGGTCGATGGTGGCGTCGACGGCGTTTTCCAGGATCGAGATGGAGGCCGCGATCTCCGCCGCGGTGTACCACGACATGGCTTGGAAATGGGATTAGCAGCTGTAAAGCGTCGGGCCACGCAAAGCCTGCAGTAGCTGCGGCGTATGCGCCGCTCGACGAACTTGTCCCTGCCCACATTACATGTGTTACACAACAAGTTCATTAAAAAGTTGACCGCCTCGTCTGGATACAGTCGTCCTGCCATTGCCAACTGGTTAACTTCGTGTTCTTGTCGGTTTTTGGGGCAAACGGGACAGGGGCTCAGGATGTGCAGGAATCGCGCTGCGCGACCACTTCCGGAGCCAGGGCGTGGCGAGGCATGTGCAATAATGAACAAGACACTGTTACCTAAGCTCCAACCGTGCTGCTCACACAATTCACAAAGAACGCCCTGTGTTTTTGCACGGCTTTGGTGCATGTCAGGTTGGACCCTATGTGGGGAGGTGGGAGACACGTCTTAAACACCTGCTTGCGACACGGTGGAAGAACATACGTCCTGCAGCACATGCAAGATCTATAGAAGGCAGGTGCGCAAGCAAGGAGAGCCGCCACTTCCAACAAACTAACATACATTGCATGTGTGCCGTGTGTAGTTGCAATACTGGAACTAATGTCCTGCATATTCCTGCGTCGTAGTGCATTCAGGAGGAATTCGGGGAAGGCCGCAAACCAAGACCAAGCCGCCATGCGGAAGAGTAGTGCGCCCTGGGAGTTGTGTGCCAAAGCGACTTCCAGGCCACTCACATGCTCTGCGCAGCTCAAAACATCGCCTGACCGGTCTTACCAAAAGCGTCCATGTGAATTCTGTCGAGAAGGTTGATCATGATGTTGCTATGTTATTGCATTCTTGGTCTCGCCCTGCCCTGTGGCCTCTGGGAAGCAGCCAACTCCTCATTTCCGCCTGTGCTGCAGGCTCCATTCGAAACCTCGGCTTCGCCGCGCTGGAACGTGACAAGATCAACATACTGTAACATACAATGAAACTGGTTTCCAATTGGCTTTCCAATTGGCTGACATACAAAGCAGCTGAATCTTGCTTAACATTGCTATCAAGGTCGGGTGGGAAACTGCTTGACATGTTAGTTCGAAGGAGCACAGCAGAACCGTGGCTGTATCCCTGAGTGATCCTGCGGATATCCGGCGAAAACGCTTGACATGCTTCTTCATCTTGCCAAATGAAACGCCAAATAGTGCAGTCCTATGCAGAGGCTCCTAAACTATGATAGTGCAAAGCCCCCACCCCAAGGGAGCGGAAGCCGCGCAAATAGCTCCAGACAGTGCCAACTTTTGCACCACATACTGTGAGATAGAGTGTCGGGAAGATAAATTCTGAACCCCAGAAGGAGTGGGGCAACGGTAATCCCTGAACACTTCAAAGTGTGGGCGGCCAGTTGCAAACGCCAACAGCTTAATGATATGGGAGCTCAGTTGACAGTACAACCAATGCTGGCAGCATAGGGCATGGGGCTCTGTCTATCCGAAAAGCGGTGCGGTTTTGCAGCAGAAGAAAGCACGGAAGCATCGGCAGGACGACCATTATGAACAGACATGTCGCTCGCTCAGCTGACCGGCTTTGGCTTGTGCGCATTGTTTTTCTGATGCCTGTTGCACTGCACTGGCTCCCCGAAATTTAAAGCTGTATTCTTGGTCCAATGCATGTTCCTGAGTCATCGTGATTTGCGCTGTTCGACTGGAGCTCGTTGCAAGTCCTGTTCGGCACCGCTGCCTGCATGCAACATTCAAATCGAACCTAGAATCTAGAGGCATGCGCGGCCTGCACTTATAGAACAAAGAACTGAATAGCGGGAGGCATGTGATACTACAAAGGCTGCTTCTTTGAGATTCGCCATTGCAACCCCGAAGCACAGTGCACACAGCATCTTCGGTTTGCAAGGTGGGTCCGTCACCGGCACTCAGCTCGAAGCCTCCACACGAAACGGATCTGGGACTTCGGCACTATAGGCTGAGCGGCTATATAGGGTCTAAGACTGTTCAAGATTTACCGTTTATGCGCTTGAGGCTTTGTTGGATTTGCTTTTTTTTGGGCTACTTCGAAAGCACGAGCCCGCATTGCAGTTTTAAGTGTCTAGGGTTTGGTGGCCAGCTTTGAGCCAGTTTCGGATGCATCTGTAGGATGTGCTCACCACTCCTGGTACTGAGAGCAATGAGGGTTGAAGTGAATGCTTGGATCGGCATCTCAAGCATACCTTGCAAGCCATCACAAGCTCCACAATGATTTCAACTGCTTGACATGTTGGTGTGACATAGCAGAATGACACCAGATAGTCTTGCACCCCGGCTCCCTGCACCAAACGCAAAGCCTCCGGAGGCGACCAGAAATCCCGTGTAAGCCGACTCCCAGTGTGCAGCATGTGGAGGATGAGGACCATGAGCCACCCACAGTGGCTTAGCTTCCTGGCTAAGTGAGGAAAAGCCCCTACATAGGCTAACTTGTGAAACAATACTTTCAGCTGCGCGCTGTACTTGACCGAACGAAGCAACACAAGCTCGTGCAATGCTTGGTTGAAGCGCTGCCACGTGTCCCTCGTGCTGGAGTTCCTTCTCATTGATGCTTCCACCGCTGACGATCACTATGACTGCTTCAAGTACAGAAAGCCGATGTCAAGATATCAGTTCCATGCGCTGCCGCCAACGAGTCCGCACAAGCCTTTATGTAGGTAGGTAGCACGACCATCTCCGCAGGCTTACCGCTGCGGACACGATATCACAATTCAACTACCGAATCAACCGACAAGAAGCAGTGCACCTGGCTTACACCGTGGACACTCAAGGTCACATCCGCATCCTCTCGCATCACCCGCAGCCCGAATTCCCAAACCCACCCTTGCATGGAGCGTGCGGTGTCCTCCGGCGCATGCTCGTTGAGCTGCAGCGCCAGTAGCTCTACATAACCCAGCGTGTTCGTTGCGTCACCGCGGGCAGTTCGGTACACCAGAGCCATGATGGACGAGTCCTTCGGGCAAAGCAATGAAAGCGGACGAAAACGCTGTGTAAAGCCTGCGCAGCATCTTTGCAATGGACTCCTCCATGAACGCAGCACTCAGAAAGGGCCGGTTCGTGTCACCGAGCTGCGTCCGGCACCAAGTCCGGCAGTGCCCATCCCTGGACACCTTGGGTTCACTTGGTCAGAACTGTTCTTTGAACACTTCGTCGGACAGGCCTACCTGGATCGCATGGAGCCACCCACCGATCAAACTGACCAAAATGACTTCATCCTCTTGGAGGATGCCTCGGCTGGTCTTTGCTACGGCTGCGACATTTTGCAATGGAAGAATCAGGGCGAGAAAACATGCGGTCAAAGGCCAGCAAGAGACTTGTGTCGGAGCTTCGTGCATGTCCCATTGATACGATGCAAGCCGGCAATAAGAATGTCTGGACCCCTTTGCCATTCCCACGCAGCGGCAGCAGCAGCAGCATGGAGCCTTCAAATGTCACGGCCAAGCTGTCTGCATGAAGAGTCACCTTACCGCAGTCGGTGGGCGAAACACACGGTGACAGACCTTCAAAACAACTCCGACTTGAAACAACCCGCCTGTCGTTTCGCCAATCGCCAACAGGGTCTAAAAGCAGTTTAGGCTCCACTGCCATGGGGTCTGTGCGACAAATGGGATAGCATTGCACAAGATCTTCACCCGCCACGTGTCGCTACGGTACCGCGGGGAACGACGCTGCCGAGTTGCCAGGTTCGAAGCCGCTTTGGCCTCGGACTCAGCCGCCGCTGCGCTCAGGACAGCTTCATCTTGGAAATCGATGGCCTCGTCCTTCTTCCAAGTTTTTCAAGAAGGTGATTCCGACTATGGCAGTTTCGAAACTATGCTGTCATGCAAGGATCGTGATCTAGCCGAGTGCAACACTGCGCGAGATCTGCTGTAGGAATACGAAGTCTGGACCTAAGCTCGAGGGTTACGAAATGCAGTGGCAAAACGCCCTTCATAGCTTGTCCTTGGCATCAATTCCAGTCTCTAGACTGAATGCCTGCATGTCAAGAAGGAACGCCGGGTAGTTTTTGTACCTTGGTCTGAAGCTCCGACTGCCTTCAACTTGGCAGGGCGGGAGGCTCTCCAAACGTTCGGCAGCTTCAGATGCAGTGATGTGTCATCTGCACTGCAGCCATGACATGAGCACGCGTGCACACACAAAGCCTCATTACCCTGTGATTCTCTCTAACCTTTGGCTCAATGCTTCAGCCCGATGGCCTGCCACACTTGCGAATGTCAGACTTAGCAGCTGCTCAATCAAGGGTTGGATAACATGGCATCCAGCAGTGTTATAGCTATGGCATTGTCGAGCGAGGGGCGTGTCGAAGCCTTCCACTCCAGGAAGTTCGTCCAGCTGAAGCCGCTGCATGGTGCTGAAGGAGCTAACAAAGTCAACGTTGTATCTGTGTATCACGCGACCCACTGTGCCAACGGACAGTAGATGCTGCTTCCTCAACCAACACGCAGATATGCTTACAGCATGACTCGGCAATTGACGGCAGCCCCAATGGCACCTGTGAAGGTTTGAACCAGCAAGAACACTGCCTCTGTGAAGCTGCACTTTTAAAAACTGTGCTGTATACGGTATCTGTGGCAACGTTGGATAAAATGCATGGGCTTTCCGTAATGCAAAGGGACCTTACTGATAGTACTGGCTTCTTCGATGAATGCAATCAAAAAGCAGAAACCTTGGGCTGATTCGAAAATCTGAAATCGAACCTGTTTTCGTGCTGTTGCTGCTCGCTGGAGGTCTAAGACTGCTACATGGCATGGCTGCCACTTGTCCCGGAGCCACGCCTTCAGAATATCAGGTGGGGAAAGGATGGCGCGGGTGTGATTACATGGAGTCTTGTCTGCGCGAGTTGTAGCGGGAAGACTTACGGGGCAACATGACAGGATTATAGGGATCCCAAAGGCTCCATGTATCCCCGTCATAGGCGATACTTGGGGAAAATTGTGCCCAGAGCGTACACTGGTCCCAGACGTTACATGGGATTTGGTGGGGGTTGAAAGCCTGACTCCTGTTGGGTTGGGTTTGCCGAATTCTTACTAGATTCACACCAGCTGGATTGGTGTTGTGATCATCGAATTTAGTAAGACTTAATTTGGTAGTAATTGACGACCTCTCTCCTAATGGGTTGCGGGTTTGCCAACTTCCTCAATAATATGTATATGACACCAGGACGGTGGGGTTTAAAGACCTCACTCTTGATGGGTTGGGTTTGCCGAGATCCGCTCTCTGTATACATATATATATATATATGCAGAATATATATATATACTGCATATATATATATGTATATTGTGTACATGTTTGTCTGTGGAGTCCCGAACATAACTTTACTGTTTTGATGTTTGTGCGGAC